ATTGATTTCTCGTGTAACTGGTGTTGTTCGGAAGTGGTTTTCCTGAACTGTTGTTACTGTACACATTTTTGTTTGGTAGATTTTGATCTTTCTTCATGTATTGATAGAATGATTTATTTGGTTCTTTATATTTTTGAGGTTTGTTGTGGTTATCCTGTTGTTTTTGTCTACATTCAGAAATACTATGTCCGTATCGTCGGCAATAATTACACCATTTTTTGAAAGATGGTTTGCCTTTAAAGTTTGGATGTTTTTCATAATAATTTAGTATTTCAGTGATTTTTTCAACTAGGTCTGTATCTGATTCCTGTATGTTGTTGATATTTGTGGTGTTTGTTTCGATTCGATTAACATATTGTAATTTCAGATTTTCTGTTTCTTCAAGTTTCATTGTAATTTCCGCTTGTTCTAGTTTGTCTACTAGTTTTCGAAAATCTAGATCGGGCTCTCGAATTGAGGAAGGATGGGATGCTCTCTTTTTTATTGCTATTTTTCTTAATTGAGGTGTTAAGGTCATCATTAAAATTTCTGTCATTTTTGTGTTTTTGTAGTCATGTGTATTTAATGAATATGCTTTTCGAACTAGTGTTTCGATACGTACTGCTAATTGTTTGATGGTTTCATTTGGTAATCTGCGAATTTCATTGCATTAAACTCTTTGTTGTTGTTTATTTCTTTCGGAGTCAAACATTTTTGAGAACTCTTGTGTAAATCTTTTCCAATTTGATTTTATTTCTATAGGTAATACTGAAAACCATTTTCGGGCTGCGCCATCTAAGGTTGTTTGTATCAACGCTGTGCGTCGATGTATCCAATTTTGAGGTAGTGGTGTATTAATTGGTTCAGGTCCTATATTTAAAATTAAATTTGCTGTTACTGCGTTTAAATAATCTTCTACAGAATATTCAGGGTCTGTTCCTGTGAATACCATTGGTGGTTTATTTGATGTTATTGATGATCCACCCATAAGGTATGGATTCATTGTCATTTGTAGTGATTCTGCGGCATTTGGCATTTGTGAAAAATTTGAAAGTTGATTTTTTGTTATTTCGTTTTGTTGAAGGTAATGTGGGAGTGGTATTTCACTTTGCATTTGAGTTGGTTGATACGAGTGTGTAATCATTGGGTTTTGTGGCTGAATTGGTTGAAAAGATTGTGTATTAGTTGGGTTTTGCATTTGTATTGGTTGTTGATTTTGTGTATCTGTTGGATGTGGAGAAAAAATTCTATGATATGTATTTGGTTTTTGCACTCCTTGTCCGCGATATTCTTGAGTATATGGTGCAAATATATCTGGTTGTAAATAATCATCATCAGATGATAAGTAATCTGTATGATGAGGTGCTTGTTTTTTATTTTTATTTTGTTGAAAGAATGGGTAATTTTCACTACGATCCTGTAGAGGATGTGAATTAGTTTGAAAATTTACTGAGTTGGTTGTTGTGATTGGGTTATCCCAATATCGAGATCTTATCTGATTATTATTATTTTTTCGTGGGGGATAGTTTGTTTTTGATGAATGTGCGTAATTATAATTGTGTTCTGCAAAAGTGTTTTTTGTGAACGTTCTTCGTGTTTTTGACGGTACTGTCATAGGTCTATATGTTTGATAATCCATATGTGAATATTTTGGAGCAACTGAAGGTTTAACGGTTGATTGTAAGGTTACTTGTGCTAGTGAAGTGTTTGTATTTTTTGGTGTTGTTAAATTTGGACGTATCGGTGAAATACTTTGTTGTGTAGTTGTTGTTGTTTGGACGATTTCTTCATTTATGAAGTGTGATGGTGTTTGAATATCTTGTTGTGTAAGATTCCTAGTTCCATTAAGGTTTTCATTGTGTATGACGGTCGAATGTAAACTCTTATTTCGCGTATCAGGTAAAAATGTATTGTAGTTTAATGGTGTTGCATCAATGGTTAATGGTACTACTCTTACATAATCTCTTTGATAAGAAATTGTACTTATTGCTTGACTTGAGATTGATTGTGGGATATTTATAAACGCATAATGAGACCATTCGGGGTCCCAAACGTAGTCTGACTGTTCTGTGATGGCGGTATCATCGTTTGAATTTTGAGGTCTGAAATTTTTTCTTGCTTGCGAAATTAAATCTATATAATGTGTAAAATAATCTATTATAAACCATGCCAAAATTTTTTCTAAGTCATGTTTTGTGTGTTGTGAAACTTCGTCTTTAGTGAAGTTTTCTTTAATTATATGTAGGAAAGTTGAAAATAGTGTGATTTCTTGTCGTACCCTTATATGTTTGGATGTCTCTGTCGGTGAGACATTTGGGATTTCATTTTCTAATATTGAAAAATAACTATATATTATTGCAAAAACTTCATTAGTAAATATGGAGTTTGCTCTTTGTGAGTTATGATATTGTGCGCTTTTAATATATTCTAAGAATACTTTTGAAAATTCTAAGTCAAGATCGTCTGTTTGAATTACATATTTGCGGTGATTCGGATTTGGTGTACTGAATTCTATGGTGTAGATTCCGTATTGTTGTGTTAAATTACATATATCTTTCAGATAATGATCAATAATTTGTCTTTTGATTTTTACATCTGGGAACTCTGCTTTGCATGGGCTGATTCCGGGTTCAAACAAATTAAGGAGTAAATTCTTGCAAAGATCGTGTTGCCCTCTATTATCGGGTGCATCTACGAGGAAGGGGTAAATATCGTCGTCATCTGGACTATCTTCACTTGGAGTGTGGGTGTGGCTCATTTTTTCGTTTAATGACTGTTAATATGTAACTATCGATGTGTCTAATTGGTTGATTCCAATTATAGAAGTGTACTGGTTTGTGTTTATATTGCTTTTTTATTCTTCTTTTTCCTCTTTTTGATGAATTTGAAGTTGTTTCTGAGTCGGAAAAATATAATTGATCGTGAATGGGACAATTTTTATCAATTGATTCTTTTAATTTATAAAGTTCATCTAAATTGCTGGCTTCTGATTCTGAAAATGCGTTTCTATTTTTTGAAAATCTTTTTCGTGTGATTTGTCTTTGTTTATTTATTATTTTTCGTTTTATTGTTAGTCGTTTTGTTCTAATATATCCAACTGTTTGTGTATGAGGTGTGATTACAAGGTCGTATTTTTTGTTATCTATTTCACAGTTGTGTAAAACAATTGTTTGTTTATTTCCTAGATTTTTGAATGACATAAGGTTTAGGATGAGGGATGCAAAAAGTTGTTAGATGATTTTTACTTTCTTAAACTGTTAGTCCTTACGATTTTTTGGTTAGCTTAACCTGGGTCTATTTGTTCAGGGTTGGAGAGAAAAGTATATCGATTCCGAAGAATGATTTTTTACTTTCTCGTGGCTAGTATAAGCTAAGGTGTTAACTTACTTAATCTTACTTAGGGGTAGTGATTGTGTTCAAGGGTTGGAGAATAGTAAATCGATCCACAAGGTTCAGGTATAATTAGAACGCAAGTAGTTCGTTAGATACTATTTTAAACTTACTAAGATTTATCCTGGGTCTGATAAGAGGAGGGTTCAAGTGAAGGATGAATATCCGAAGTTCTTCACTGTTTATCCTAATTTGAATGGTTAGTTTTGTTGAAAAATTTCTATTAGTCTTGGGTTTTTTGGAAGGGTTGGATAGTGAATCGACGTTTGAGGTCGTTAGACACTTGCTAAGTGGGTGGGGGAGAACAAAATTGTTCTTTTTGATCCCAGGATAGGCCTTGATGATCAGGTTTAAAATTTAGTGAAATAGAAAATTAATTAAGATCCAAGGATAAGCCTTGATGATCTGATTTTAAAATTAAGTGAATTTAAGTTTAAAATGGTTTAAATTTGTTTAAGAAAAAGATTTAGTTTTTTAATGATGTTAGTTAGCTTATGATTGCTGTTATGTTTTAGGTGATGAAGCTGGGACTACAGATGATTTTATGATTACTAACAATTTATTGTCATTCAACTAATTTTTGTTTGATTTTCAATAAATATTTTCCAAACATGTTTTATATAATACTGCAGAATTTAGAAAAACGATCTGAGATCTTTTTATCAATCGTTATTGTATATTAATAATTTTGTTTAGCGCCTGAAATGATCATGAAGATTGACTTCAAGATTTTATGTTTGCAAATGAAAATCTAAATTCATTGCTAATAAAATTCTAAATATAAAAGTTTGTGTTGGCTTTTGCCGTACTATCATATAACTAGATGGTAAGTTTCTACTTTGTCGTATGTCGTCTCTGGTTCGAGGTCTTCTTGCGATTCCGGGTAGTTCTGTTATCGTTCGGAATATTGGCTCTGATCTATTGAGTCGTAGAGACATTTCGATTAAGTTATCGTCGTATAACATTTTGAAAATGTTTTGTCTAAATTCTAATCTATTTTTGGTTAATTCTAAGCTATTAAGGTCTTGTTCGAGACTTATGGTCGCACCAGATGAGTTAGGACCGATGTGGTTAACTCATAGAGTAATTTCGGATAGGGTACACCGTCTGCTCGTCACGCTATCTTATTTTCGGCCGGATAGATTCGTGCAACTTCTTAGTCTAATACCGATCATAATCTTACTCTTATACTATCTAGTCTCAGGTTGTTTAACTAGTCTCTGCTAGGCTCAATAGATCTAGGGTATACTGGTTTGTTGCGGCTGCTGAAGGTCTCTTGGAGAGGCAACTAATTTCTAAGTTAAATTCAAATCTCTCTGGTGCTGAAATTACAAGTAATTTCAGCACTTACAAATAAGTGGGTTGTTAGTTAGATGGATCATGATTGGTTAATATTAAATACTTTACAGTGGTAAAATATCTAATTTATCCAATCATAAAATATAGTTTAGATCAGGTTCCAATATACCTAAGTGCATTCATAAATGCATCAATTTGTATGAATGCACATCTGTAGTTTTTAGAGAGTTTTGAGACTTTTCCTGAAAACTTCAGCAAGACCTATTTAAAAGTTTTCACTACAATCATTACTCTTAAAAAGCATAATACAAAAAAAAAACAAATCAGCTCACCTGAATACTCTCCCTCCCCTTCTCCCATCCACATATTCATCTTATAGTTCATGAGATAGTGCATGATGGCCAACTCTCTCTTTTGACCTTTGCCCTCTAGAGTCCGCAGAATATGGACTATCAATTGGGCATAGTCACTTCTGGCTACTAATCTGCCAGCTAACACTGACATCTTGGACGCTATGTTAGTCAGTAGACCATACTCTATGTCTTCCAAATCCACTCCGCTTAACTCCAGGAGTTCTTCAAGTGCAACCAGTACAGTATCTTCATCTACCTATTGCAATCAAACAATTCAAGCAAATGATCAATATCGCACGGAAATCAATCAGTGAAACCAATACACTACTTCTTTCCATAAGTGTCTTAAAAAAAGGTTTTACTAGTCACTATCACACCCGTGACAGTTCGCAAAACCCTGTTGTTTTTACTGGCAGCATATCCCAATTACCCGCTCCGCAAACACTAGCCAGAACACGACAAAAAAGCAGCTCTATAAAGAAGTGTAATAAGAATAAGTAGAAATGAGCCTCGAATTAGTAAACATTCGGCTCCATTTCGGATTCCTTTAGGTCCTCCTTGTTTCAGCCCAACTGTGTGCTACCAATTTTTTTCACATTTTTTCACGATTGCGCAGATAACTTGGCCAAATATTATGAGCACGAGCTTCTAAGTTCCATATATCGTCAAATATTGCTCTCGGGATTTTGCTGTTTCCAAACGATTAACTCCAACATCGACTTTTGTTTCGAAATTAACTACAGCAAACCATGTTGTAAATACTGTGGTTGCGCTTTTGTTGTGTAGTAAAAAAAAGTAGATATCTATCTATGAACCATGATTTCAGTTGCATGTGTGTTATCCGAATGCTTTTCGGCCAGATCTGACAAGCGCTATGACATCTGTACAGACGAATATTTTTATATCCGTATTAGGTAATGGCATGGAATTCATAGACAAAATGAATAAAGCCAGTGAGAGCAGACCTCTTGTTGTACAACCTGTTCCAGTCTACGTTTGCTTGACGCCTGATTTTTAAACTCAACGTATGTGAGGCGGCCTTGAAGATTCAAGAGCAGCCATCGCTTAGTACTCTTAGAAAGGGAGATGCTAATACGTTTTCAAAAATCGCTCAAAGGCTACCTGAGTCGAAGGCGACGGCTGTCTAATGCGACAAGTAGCGTTTTGTGACAGGGTTTCCTTAATTGAAACCATCATTTATTTTGGTATCGAATTCACTTTTTAAAGCTGTTAAAATTGATCGTGCTTGCCTGGCCCCATTCCGAGTTAAGTGTGTGTTTTCGACCAATTTTGCTATGGGAGACAACCACAAAGGAGTTCTGCGCCCAAAAACAGAAATCAAAAATCAAACCAAAAAAACTCCGTTCATTGACACATAAAAACCAGAGCTTAATTTGGTCAAAATTTTGCACCCAATATGTCCGAGTAAACTTCGCCAACTGACATTGAGAGCTATCTTGGGCGGCATCTTTTGTGTTATGTTGTGTCTACTATCTGGTTCAATCACTGCATTGTGGTACACCCTTCCACCAGCCTTTTTAGACTGACTCTTCTTCTTCGCACTGATTTGATTACTGCTACTAGAGCCATTTGCAAGTGTCTTGTTGCTGCTGCTGTTTGTGTTGTGCTTGTTTCGACTTAGTCTTCTAGTCTCCATGTCAATTATGTGGTCTTTGACGTCAGCGCCACAGTGGAACTTTTTACCTGAAAAAAAAGTACAATACATTATTTCAATACTAAAATAATAACCAATTAACAAAAGTGATATTTTCAATATTTCATTTTTAGATGTCGTTGTCCCCGATTAACTTTACAGAATTATCTTTTAAAACTCAAGAAAAAAGTTTTGTGTGATACACTTTGATAGCATTTTTTATCACATAATCTGACCATTTCTTACATCCAACACATTTCAAAACTTTTTTTGACAAATTTTTACTCTGCTTTTTCATCGAACACACTTCAAAAGTTTCATTTTAGACAAATTTTTGCTCACATCTACACTTTTTTATCTTGATTCATTTTTAACAAATTTTAGAACTCACCTATATTTTTCATCTCTTTTAAGTCTTTTTCACTAACTGTCAGCATCACATTATCTCCCAATGAGTAATTTAGAGACAAGAAGTGGTCCATAAGCAGCAGTTTCTTCAGCTGTGATCTGTACAGTGTCTCCGGGGGAGTGTCGTCTCTCACTTCTGGACTGAGGTACTGCTGGTGCGGCTGTTCCCCATAGCAGCGCACGATCCAGCCCACTTTCACACTGCTGCACATCACGTCCAGCACTTTAGCCTGAAAGGACTTTCACAAATTACACAGAGGCGAAACGGTACTTCGCAAAAACAAGTGAAAGCGGTAATAAGGAGCTCCAAAACAGACAAAAAATGCTGATATATGCTTTTAAAAAAATCAACTTAACAATAAAAGACACAAAAACTAGGGGATTCGAACTCAAAATTACCGTTCAAAAATCACTTGCCTCAAAAATTTGCCATGACGCTTTGGTTTCTACAAGTTTCCCGCATACTTTTTCTTAAACATCAGGCAGCAAAGAATACGCTTATTAAAGTGGCTATAGCTGGATACGATGCTTAGTTTTAAAATAACTGATATATGCTCGCAAGCTCGACAGAGGAAAAACTTGAAACTATTCAACTAATAACCATTAATGGCGGGTACCTTCGTATTGGCTCCTCGTTTGGTAATTCGAATGGCCAACAAAGAGGCGAAGCTGCCTCTGTGTTGCCTTTAGTAACATTTCGTTAAGTAAGAGAACCTGATTTTAGTAACATTTTAAGAAATCCATTTTTGGCCGAACATTCCCAATTTCTCTAAAATCGTCTTGGATTTTTCTAAAATCGTCTCCAATATACACTAACTTCAAGAGAAGAGAGCAGGCAAAAACAATAATAACAAGGATAGCCGGTTACTGTGCAAGTAGCACAGAATTTTCCGACCATGGTCTTTAGAAAACTACGGTTTGAATTTTTTTTTTCAAATTAGTGGTTTTTTCTGCCGTTTGTTAGTATAATACTTTCGTAAAAAATGAGTAGAAATTTTTTTTTTCAAAAATTTTTGCAGAAAATATTCGTAATTTTTGATTCTCAAAAAGAAACTAAAAACTCCATAAAACTAGTTTTACTTGCTCAAAATTAAGTTTTAAGATCTTAAATTAGGCATTTCAGCTGTTGACAGCCTGCTAGCTTGCTTTCTTCGCTCGAATTAAGACGAAAAAATGAAAAAAATCAATGTGGTTCGAATCACGACTGAAAGGGCTTTAATATGATATATCACTCAGCACAGTCCAATGATTATTTGTGGTACCTGATTTTGCGTGGAAAACAAAAAACATGAAACACCTCCGAATAAAAAGTTCCTCCCCATTTTTCAATTGGTCGGAACAATAAGAAGATTGAGGTTTGTGCGATTCGCAGAGAATCTAGAAAAGACTATCAGGCCTGTTTAAGTATATATAGTACGTTTGTACTATTTTCCTACATTCTAGACTGCGTTAGTATTTTGCTTAGCGAAGCTCATTTTTTTGCTACCCAAGGCCATTTTTGTGCCTAGAACTATATGGCCTTACAACTCATGATTAACAGTTTTTTTGATAAAAGTAACCCAAATTGAGAAAACTGGATCAATAGGTAAAATTTTTGTTTCGCTGAGAAATCTGACAAATGAATACCATTTTTAAAATTAGAAATTGGTAATGTTTTTCACTGTTTGATAGTGGTGCTTGCCTTCCTTTCAAAAAGTGAAATGAACTGAACTTAGAAAGAGATCAAAAGTCAAACCGCGAAAAAGTAAAATTGTGCCTGAACAAATTTAAAGATTTTTCCTGAAATTTTAAGAAATCGAGTTGGTAAAATTACAACAACATAAAAAGCAAATTGTGTTTCGGCCGGATATTTTAAATGCTAACATGCTCAAAATATGTCTGTTGCAACAGAAAGGCACAGTAGATGAATGAATCCATGAAAATTTTGAGTTCTGTTTGGCACAGTAGATGAGTGAAAATTTTGAGTTGTTCAAATTGTTGACAATTTAGCGCGAATACGGTTTTGTTTAGGAGCGAATTCAAGAAAAGTAGAAAACTTGCTGAGTTCATCAATTGTTCAGAAAAAATATGACGCCGCGCTGGGGAACATTTGTTTGTTTAACAAGCGCCATCAATTAAAATAGCCCTTTGAATTGAATTACTCGTAGGTGATTGCGACAGCTTAACAAATCTTTTTCGACACAGTTGAACAACTTTCTTTTTTTTTGACACGGTTGTACTTCGGCTTTTCTGTGCTGCCCAATGAGTCATGTGAACAAATTTATTTCCGGGAAAAATCTAGTATCCGATTGCACTCTCAAGGGTAATAAGAGCCAATCAAATGTGGAAAAACTTCCAATAATTTGAACTTTTTTTGCCGCTTTTTATTTCTCACCTTTAATTTCTTTAGTAATATAACTCACCTTTTGCCTCTTTTTATTTCTGCTGTTTGGATTCTCTGAGTTGTGATTGTAATTCATAGATGCCAACACACACGTCGAGTGGCTAATCAGTTCAGGTGTGTTTGTCAACAGTAACTGTTGGGAGGGGTAGAAGAAAGAGCGGTGGAAGTAACTGTCTCGGCTCACTCGGTCGTGTACGTCTACACTAAGTCTACGCAAGATGCTCTCTTTCACATCATAGACGAAACCAGTCCGCAATTCGAACCTATGTCCAACAAAAAAATTTTGGGTCTTTTATGCTAGACGGCCCGAAATTATCAATTTGTTTATTTAGCTCTTCTTACACAAAAATCTAGATACATTTTCAACCATCAGATTCGAGTATTATGATCAATTTTTCGAAAAACGAAAACAAGCATTTTTGGGCAGTGTAAAACAGAAAAGACCCATTCTTTTTTTTTACTATTGTTGCTGTTAGTAACATGCTAGGGAAATGATTATAGTTTTTTTCGCCTGAGCCGTTCTCGTATCCAGGCTCATAGACTTCGCCCAGTACAAAGCTTCATTGTGCTTGCGCTGAGCTTATAAATAAGGTTGAAAAAAATCACTCAAGCGCCATTTATTCAATGGAAACTTATACAGAGGCGAAGCTGCGCTTCGCAAACACTAGCGGAAACACGACAAAAAGAAGCTTTATTAAGTGCAAAAAGAAGAAGTACGCCTCGAATTAGTAAAAATCTACATCACCGATTCGATCTGCGACCTAAAGATTAAGAGACTCACGCACTAACCACTCAGCCAAGGACGCTTAATAAATCAAAAACACTAACCACGCATAAAGCAGAGAACTGATGCTAAGAAATTTCCATGCTAGACCGTGATAATAGCAAAAGTGCCACCAAACAATTGAAAAGTTTTATTTGCGAATTAGGTTAGAAAAAAGAAGGTTCATACTAATACACTAATTTTTGCAGGCTTGCTAGTGTAAAGAGCTTTATAATTAATATCAAAACAAAATATAAACAAGAACAGCTCGTTGCTGAGCAAGCAGCACAAAAAGTTCCGATCACAGAAGTTCCGACCAGATGTTCCGACTGCAAAAAGTTCCGCCCTCTGAACTTTGCAAAAAAATCGGAATAAAAACTAAGAGGACTACTAAAAATAACCGAAAAAGTTAGCGTCATCAAAAATTTCCTCCGACCATCGATATAAAATTTGAACTGACCTGACAATATTGTGGACAGCTTCAATTTCTCCCAGATGATAATCGTACACACAAAATGCACCTTCTGTGAACCTCACAGGTGCTGTGAAGCGACACGAGGGCACGGCGTACAGTCTCAGCTGCCTGCAATTAAGGATATCTTATATTTTAGGAATAACAATGCATCTATTTCATTTTAGAAAGAAAGAAAGATAATTTACTTCTACAAAATCAAACCACATTTAACTCAACAAGCATCATTTAGATCATTAAATTTAATTCAAATGAACTGGGAAATTTCGATAAATTTCTTCCAATCGGATTAAAGCATTTATCATCATCTGCCGATGCAAAACTTGATCCAAGAAAACTTTATCCTTTGCTGGAACTATCGTAGCGAATTCTCAACAAATTTTATCCCTCATGAATATCATGATGCTTTCATTACTAAGAAAAAATATGCAATTCTAAAAAAAATCATTTTTGTGGGGTTAATTCCTTTCTCTTCTGAATTTCAGAACTGAATTGATGTTAGAATTATAATTGCACTGAATTGGAACTATATTAATTATTTCCCTGAATTTCACATCCCTACCTATTAGCCAACAGCGCCACATCAAACTCGATGCTAACTGCCTTCACAAATCCTCTCTGCGTTTGGGTACTATGCGCTGGAACCTGATGACTTCTCACTCCACTCTCCCCCTCCCCTTTGCCATTTGATGATGACAATGATGATTCTGAAGGTATAGTGGCAACTCTTCGCACAGCATCGCCCGGCATTAGCGCCCGGTCAACCAGGTGCAACTGCAGTAAAAAAAATACAATTAACCGACTAATTTGAGCTTATGCAAAGATTGATTATTGTAACGTATCCTCACACGTCTCGCAATTAATGATGGGCGCTTTTATGTAAAAAAATAACCCAATTTGAGAAAACTGAATCTAAAGGTAAATTTCTTATTCCGCTGGGGCATCTATAAAATAAAATCCAATTTCGAAACTAGAAGTCGATCTACACTTTACACTTTTGCTGTTCGATAAAGGAGTTTGCTTTCCTTTTAACAAAGTAAATGAACTGAACTTTAAAAAAAAGTCAAACCGCGAAAAAATCAAATTTGAGCGTGAACACTTTTTTCATGCAAAAAAAAAATCATCACGACCTATACAAGAGCCTCCACTACGTTTATCGACTCTTCCTTAAAAACAAACAAAAATCATTAAAACCTATATCAGTGAAAGCCACTTGTTTTTTACACTTAAAACTCGTCTGATCCCTATGAAGTGAATGAATTACATTTAGCCATAACAAAAACAAAAAAAAACTCAATTTTCAAGATCACCTTGTTCTCAGGTACCACTTGTTCTTCTTTGGCCTTCTTGCTGCCCCCTCCTCCCGCTCGACCGTTGTGTCTGTGGTGGGTGTCTCCCCCGGCCAAGAAGGGAGTGTTGAACCATGCCACTCTCGCATAGCCTTCTTCTACCCTATAACAATCACACAACACTTCGATTAGAGGTAAGCGAACCACAACGTTAATATCTCAGTTATCGGTCCGAAGAGCGTTCGCCGAAAAAAGAAACGTTTTTTTTTGTTCAAAAACTTCGCAAAGATCAAAACATTCGAAATGTCTGACCTAAAAATCGACGAAACTACTCAAAAAACCTCCCCACTCACTTTTCTTGTGCACGGGTCACTGGTCAGAAAATGCAGCGCAAGTAAACGCTCCAATTAAAGATATATTTGTTTGCAAAATCAAAACTTTTTCTTGAACTTTTTACAAATTCTTTTTGCAAAAAAACTGTGATCCCAACTTTCAGAATTACCGAATGGATTTAATGTGATTGAGAAAACTGATATTTCTAAGCCATCCAAAAAAACGTCTTCTGAATTCATCAATTAATTAAAGACTCAAGGCGTTTCAATTAAATAGGTTGAATTACAATTCCCCTCCAAGTAAAAAATGAACTAACAATGTTGACTCAAAATATCGGATCAATTGAGCAATCTCCCAATTGAGAGTTTATTTTATATGAGTTTCGAGGAAAAATTTAAAAAAAAAAAGAATTTTTTTTTGGAAATTTTTATTTGCGCGACCATGGCCTCATCGAACAAAGCGACTTACCAGGGTTGCTGCTCTAGTCTTATATCTGAATATCAAAGACTGCTCTCCGCGGCACATTAAAATTGCTTTTTTTCCATTTAGGACAAAAAAGGGCTTTATGCGACCCAAGTCACCTTAGTTTTATTGATTCTTTTTTCACTCTGAATGCAATTTTTGAGCTTTGATATTGTAAATTTTGGCGTTCCACTATCGTTGAAGAAACTGATTTATGATTTCATATCATTCAAACTATTTTGAAGCGGTTATAAACATGTCTCAAGTACCTATTGAGCTATCCCCCCCCCACGCGCGAGAGGGGGGGAGAGATTACTCAATTGATCCAAAATATCTATCCTAAACTGATTCAATTGTTTGGATTTCAAAAACTTCGTTGAAACTTAAGCGATGGGTTAGAAACTTGACACAGGAAAAATTAAACACGCAATGTCAGAAATACATAATAACGCAATAATTACTACTACTACGACCCTGTCCTTTTCTTTCTCTTTCTCTTTCGATTCCTTTCTTTTCATTTTGCTCTCATTATTTTTCCCATCCCCACCGTCGCCATTGTCTTCACCATCGTCTTCTTCAGCTTCCACTTCTTCGTCGCTGTCTTCTTCATCTTCTGAAGATGAAGTTTCTTCGTCAAATGCCTGGAACATAGATGAGCATTTTGATTAACTTAAGATCAGCTGATTGTTAACAAGTTACGCACCTTCTTTAAAAAAAACAGTTAAAAAACTGCTCACATCATTTCAATCAGCAAAGCAAGCTAGCAGACAGAAAAGGAAGCAAAAGAAACCAGGTCGAAATTTCTTTTTGAAAAATGTTGAAAAAAAATCAAAACAACAAAATTTCCAAGTGCTTGTCTTGAATAATGTTCAGTTTGAGGAAAACAGTTTAAAACAATCGCCAGCGTTTGAACATTATGTAGAAACGATTACCAAGTGGCAAAAAGACCAGAATTGGGTAAAACCTGTTCAGTCGAAAACAAAAATGTTGTCATAAAAACGTTGAGCTATAAAGTAATGTTAATCTACACAGAAGCGAAGCAGAGATTCGCATCACTTGCAATAGAACTCAAGTAGGGAGACGCCCATTGATCCGAAATTTGAAAAATGACATTAGAAATTATAATCACAAAACAATTTCGAACAGTAGTTTTTTTAAATCTTGCAACCCAAACTAGCTGAAAATTTTTTAAAAAATCAATCCATCTCTACCCTAAAGGCGACCCAAAGTAACTCAGCTGATAAAACATGAGTCGAAACCATCTAGGCCGAATAAAACTTTTCAGCGAAAAAAAATTAAATAAGAAAAATACAAAGTCAAGCCTATTAATTTTACAGATTTGAGGATTAAATCAAAAACACTTGCTTCCAAGATGATAATTGGTGACAGCACCAGTAAATTCACCGATTTGGCAACTAAGCCAAGAAAAGGTAAACAGACAAATGAAAGTCCGATAATTCAAATTTTTTCGGAAAAAAAACCATTTCATACACATTCTGAAAAAATGAGGTCAGGCCGGGACTCGAACCCGACCTTATGGTACAAAGGTAACCGCATTAGCTCTAGGCCAAGTCGGAAGGATCCTCGAAGTTGCTAAGGTTCACTAATTAAGCAACTTCACAATTTCTTACTCTGTTGCTTACTGTATTACCTGTAAAATTGTTAACGGGAAAATTTTTAGTCCCCGGTTACAAGACACTTGTAAAAACTTTGATCCCTTTGTAAAACACAGACAAAACAAGGATAGCCGGTTATTTTGCAAAGAGCACAGGATGCTCCAACCATAGTCTTAAAACATACAAAAAAAAATTTCTTCAAATTAGTGTCGTTTTTTTCTGTGTGGTGTGATGGTAAACTCTGACCGAAAAATAAAAATTAGTTATATTCGACAGTCATATTCAAACAGTTCAATTAGAAAAAAATTTCTGTAGAAAAATGACACAATAGAAATAAATATTTTTTTGCAGAAGTTTTTTGAATTTTTGACTCCCAAAATGGCGCTTGAAAAATTCAAAAATTAAATTTACTCGATAACACTAAATTTGCACAGCTTAAATTAAGCATAAAAAAGCTATTGCAAGCCTGCAAAACTTATTAGCTCGAAATTCGTTTTTTTTCGCGACACTGAGAAAGTTTTTTCAAATTTGTTAAAAGCCGTTCAAACTACGACTGAAAGGGCTTTGATACCGATGATTATTTGTGATACCTGAGTTTAAGCGGAAAAAAAAAGAAAAAAAAACACCGGCATTCAAAGTTCCTTCACAATTTTCAAATGGTCGGAACACGAATTTGGCCACTTAACCGATATAACATAACAATAGAGGCCGAATAAAGCTTTCGAGCAAAAAAAAGGGAAAGTAACAACACAGAGGCAAAGCTGCGCTTGTCAAACATTTGCGAGAACACGACCAAAAGCAGCTCTTTCAAGTGAAATTAAAAAAGTAGAAATGGGCCACGTATTAGCAAAAACTCGGCTACGTGTCGGATTCCATTCTGCGACCTAGCAATCTAACCACTCAGCCTAAGCATAAAGCCAAATTATGTATAAATTATGCATTTCAAAAAATTGCTAAATACACTGAGCTCGAAAATTTCTGAAATCGCGCTTTTTATCATTGTACTGCTGTTTAATACAAAAAACTTTTTTCGGTTCATTTAATGAATTAAAAATGCACCATCTGTGTTAAGTTTTTACTTATCAAATGATAAAGCACATATGACAATATACTGCTACCGCAGACTACCGATTCAAAAGTGCCACAAAAAGTAGCACTTTTATTAGCGACTTAAGTTGAGAAAAAACTTTCAGTTACAATGAAATTGCTTACAGAAAATGAAAACTCCGCAATTAGGCAACTGAGTCTAGGCTAAAAATCTAAAAAAGGCAAGAAAATTCCACTTTTATAAAGGCTCTGGCCGAATTCAACCATATGGCCATCGCCATCCCCAGGTGTGGTCGTTACCTCAAGGCTAAGTGTGCCGGCGAAGCTGAGGAATTTGAATTTATTACAAATCAAGCTATAAAATGATTCAAGTGATTTTGTTAAACAAGTTGATGAACTGAAAAAAAAATGATGTAGTCACGCTTCATAAAGTTTGCTAGATGCAAACGTAAAACTTAATTGAATATCTTGATTGAATGCAAAAACTCAAAAAACCGCAATCTGTTATTAAGAAAAGGATATATAAAATTTTCCTATCATGCTTTCTTCTATTTAAAAAATGAGCATGAAGTTTGACAGTTTTGGATATTTCTATTTTTCTTTTTAAATTTCAAGGTTATTTAAATAAAACCTTAGCATGTTTTATGTGCTGAAATTGATCTGGAACACGCAGAGGAACAGTCGCTTCTTGAAAAGAATGTCGGAAAAACGACTGAGTTTTATCTGAGCAGCTGTTGTTTAAAAAGTCCATTCATCTAACTGCGCTTGCCTGTGTGACTACACCGAATCGGACTGAAGATCCACTTTGTTCACACACTATGTCTTCACTACCCAGCCATCGTCGCCCAGTCACACCCCCACCGCCACCTCCAACCACGCCCAACATAGTCGAACAGAACTGTTAGAGAACAGTTGCTTTCGTATCTTTCTTCACCTAAATAGAAAAAAAACAGTTTTTCTGTCTATTTCAGTTTGTATTGCCTTGAAACAAAACTTGGTTAGCTCAATTATATTATATTTAAACCATAAAAACCAAGTTAAAATATACAAATTTTTTAGGATTGAGAAACGCTAAAATCAATTTTATTACTAAATCATTTGCTGCACTGAGAGGTTAAGAACCGCACCTTATTCAGCTATTTTGCGAGAAAAGTGTAAAAATTGTGACTGTTTGGATAGAGAAGTTTAAGTTAAGAAAAGGGTTTTCACATTACAAAAATTTTACCGAGAACGAGATATTTTCCCCTGATAAAATGAGCATCAGCTAGGACTAGTACTTCATAAAACTATCGACGGGTATGGCACTTTAAACATATCCTGGTTATTTTTCTTTGCAATTTTGGTCCGTTAAAAACGCGTTTAGACTTCTGCAGATATAATTGGACAATTATGCAGTATAACATATCCGACACATGCCTAGAAAATTGTAGAAAAAAGCCAAAAAATGTTTGAACAATTTTAGTTTCGAATGGTGATTAGAAAATATATCAACTTAATCTGCTGCAAACTCAGAAAAAATGAAGTCCATATTTTAAACGAGAAGTCAGTAATAATTTTCACTTTCTTAATTATAGAGGGAAATTCACCTTCGCACCTTATAGCACATGAGCTTCAATTGAACTCAAAAATGCACATATACTAAAGTTCATTCAAAAATGTCTTACTTTGTATGATGCACTTCTTTTGCCCTTCAAGTTACATTAAAAGTTGACTAAGCCGACAAAACATAAGCAGACAAACCAACTTTTCCCAGAAATAAGTTTTCATTTTCATACCTACTCAAAAAAAGTCCGGCCGGGACTCGACACTCAGATCTTAGGAAGAGTCCCTCTGGACCAAGCGGGAAGGAGTCTGGAAGCTCTTAAGGTTCACTAATAAAGCAATTTCAATTTTTAAAAGATTTGTAAGAAAACTTGTGTACGGATAAAAAAAGACTTAATACCGATTACAAGACACTTGCTCCCGCAAATTTAAACACAGAGGCAAAGCTTCGCTTCGAAAACATTAGCGAAAACCCGACAAAAAGCACCTTTATAAAGTAAAATATGAAAAAGTATGAATAAGCCTCAAATATGCAGAAATTCGGCTACGTCAGAGATTCGAACATGCGATCTTCAGATTAAGAGCCACACACACTAACCACTCAGCCACGGAAGCTTAATAGCCACCAGAAGATAGAAGATTAAACACTAGCCACCAATAAAGCAGAAAACAGATGCTACGCAATTTCCAATGCTACTGTGAAATTTCCAAATAAGTGAACACTTTTATTTGCGAGTTAGGTTAGAAAAAAAGAAGGTTCGTGATAACGTGTCAAAAATTTGATGTTAAATTATGATCAGAACATAAATTTCGAAGCGGTAACAAAGCCGAAAACATTAGAACACACCAGTTGAGCTGACAAAAAACGTTTTCATAAAAAAATTCAAAGGCCTACTTTATCAAAAAGAAAAGGGTTAATTACCCAATTTCCAATAATTTATCTTCAAATACAACTTCGCTAAATCCAAAACAAAACCGTGTAATTGATGTTTCTATGTTTTTGAGGAGAGCGGTGGAAAATCCCGAAAGTATTTTACGAGGGGGTGGGAAACTGGAGAAAAGTCATGGCTCATTTCTGGTTTTCAATTACTCTCATAAAATTACCATATAAATTTGTTCGAAAATTTGGCCCTTTTCCAGTCCACTCTTGATTTTTTCCGGAATTCGATTCACGGAAGACTTTTGATATTTTAAAATGTACTACATGTCAGCATGAACTAGTGACCCAAATAAACAAATGTTTCTTATGTATAAATTACCGTATGAACAGTTTTTAAATTGGGATTTTACGAGGGGTGGGGAAACTGGAGAATGGCCAAATACATTTCTCATACAGCAATTTCCATCTAATAAAGGTTGTACAAATCTTTTCACATAGTTCAAGCTGCCATGTTTTACTGCCGTTAATAATATCAGAAATATTTAGAAACGCTTCATTCAGGCCTTTAATTTTTGTCTACCAAAATGTTTTTCTAAGCTTTTCAAATCTTGATAAAAACCCTATTAGACCAAAAATTCTGCACCGCATGTCAATTTAAAAAAAAACTGGCAAAAAAGACGTTTTTAGGCACTTTTTGTGATATTGTGACAAGCCCCTACATTTGAATGAGTGAGCCAAAAGGTAATCAGTCTTTTTTCCTTTCAAACCACCACCACCCTCCCCCCCCCCCCCCATACCTCGAAATGAACATCAATTGGCTCTTTTCCGGTTTCCCACCACCTCCTAAAACTACAAAACAAAACTGTTCAAAAAGAAGTGATAACGTGTTGTATAAGAATGTCCACCAGTTCACGCTGACACGTGTTAATGCAGTTTATAACATGAAAAGTCATCTTAGTTTGACTTTCATATATTGATTTTCAGAAAAAATCAAAGGGCGACTGGAAAAGAGCCTATAAAATTGATGATGTAACTAGTGGTTGGAGATGAGCCGGGAATCCAGTTGAAAATGAGCCGGGAATCCAGTTTTCCACCCTCCAATAAAATCATAATAATTTGTCGTTGAATTCTTCGCACGCCAATAACAATTTCTTGCAAATTAATCCCACTGACACGCTTTAACATAGTTTATTTCAGCAGAAATCATTTCTAATAATATTCAGAAAATCATATTTCTGCAAAAATCCGAAAAACGACTAAAAAAGAGTCATGTTACATTAGTAACATTGGCTCTTTTCCACTCCCCCTCCTTTAAAATCCAGTTTTGAAAACTAATTTTACGTTGTCATAATGTGATGAAATTTTGCATGGTGAACAAACTTCTATTGTGAAGACTTTTTTTCTTCCTATCTTACATCGTAACATCACGCATTCCGCCATAATAAAATGTAAGAAATATAAAACTAATACAAAATGAAAATTTGAAAATGCAGCCGGGGGGGGGGGGGGGGGGGGGAATGAACATAAAAGATATCAGTTTGAGTAGGTGAACAAAAATCATAATATATAAAATATTTTTGTTTATTGCTAAAGTGAAATGAAAGGAGTCGCTAAAACTTTTTAGAACCATCTACCTACCCTATGCAATCAGAAGAATGATGCTAATGTTCCGGAGGATGATTTTCGCCCATGAAAGTACTACACAACCACTACATGCAATGTGATAAGATAGAATAGACGCAGGTCGAAGAGTAGCTCTGAAGTGATGATATCCCAATTAATATATTTTCTTCGATGTTCTTCGGCAATCGGATTCTGATGCCGTGAAAATGGTTGCAGCAAGAAGTTATTTCACTAACTCAGTCCACTCCGGTAATCGTAGAAAGATCTTCTCAGCTACTCTCTCGTGTCGTAACGAACATACAATCTCAAGAATAAACAGTTTATTGTGTCTTAAATTCCATCACAGTCAATTCACAATTCAAATCTGAAAGACAAGACCAAAACCAAGCACGTGCACATTGAATAACATAGCGCAACACATCCGTGAAGGACAAAACAGGACAGTCATGCTCTATCTGACAAACACGTTGGCGAAAAAACTTTACCACTGGGGCTCATCTGGTCATCATCTTCCCACCCAAACAAAATAGGCTCTTTCCCCACTACAACCCCTACCACTGGACCTCACCTCTGGCACATTATAAAAAATTATAGCCCAATAGTTGAGCACAGTAGGACCACTTAACACCAGGCAATTTGCATTTTGCAAACACAAACAAAAATTGGACACAGAGGTGAAGCTGGACTTCGCACCACTCGCGATACAACGCACAAGAAAAATCAAATAATCGGAAATGTCGAATAAATTAGATCTATCATAAATGAAGCTACTTTTTTCTAGATCTATCATAACAAACATGCCGAGACAAAAGAATAATAAATTAGCATCGGAACATAATTGGTAACAAAGCCGAAAAATCCTTGGCAGAAACCTTTTAAAAGTCGGAAAAAATAAACAAGACTAGACATGAAAAATTAATAATTCCCCCCTCGCCCTCAAAACAATCAAAAAACTTTATTTGCTTGTCAAATGAAACAATATGAGACAAGTAAACCGATATAATATACCCCGAAACCTATTAAGCACAAAAAAGGAAAATAAAAAAGCAGAAAAAATTCAAAAAAATGGCTCTTTTCCAGTTCCCCCCCTTTGATATTTTCTGAAATTCAATATGTGAAAGTCTATTTAAAATGACTTTTCATGTTATAAACTGTGTTAAAACGTGTGAGTGTGAACAAGTGAACAAATTTGTACAGCATTTTCAACATGCAAAATGCCGTGTGAACAATTTTTGAAATTTTTTATTTTTACGAGGGGGCTGGGAAACTGGAAAAGAGCCAAAAAAGTTTAAGACTAATAAGAAGTTATTCAGCCCCCCTCGCACTCAAAACACAAACACGCACAACAAACTTTTTTCGCTCATCGGAAGACGCAATACGAGGCCACTATGCGGATAATATAGGCCTAAACTCAACAAGCCGGAAAAAAAAACAAAAAAGCCGAAAAAAATTGTTGTCAGGAAAAATTTGAACTATAATTTCTATTTTCTATTAAGATTTTTAGCAATTTGTGCGATCCAGAAGTGAGCATTAAAAATATGATTCTATTGAAAGAAATAAAGGCACTAAGCTGACAAAAACTAGGCCGATTTCAATCGGACAGAAAAAAGTTTTTAAGCGAAAAAAAAAAAAAAAAAAAAAAAAATATATATATATATATATATATATATATATATATATATATATATACGATGTCAAGGTGTAAAAAATTACAAACGAACGTCAAAGGTAAATCAGATCACTTAAAACGACAAAAATGAGAAAAAAAAACTTAAATTCAAAAGAGCGATTTAGTTGGATGGTAGGAACCGGAAGCTAAGCCGGATGGTAAAAACCGGAAACAAAAAGCGAAAATTAAGCCGACACAAAAAGTAAATCGAAAACGGCAAGCCGAAAACTCAGAAAATACCAAAGAAATATCATTAAAAAAATTGAACTGCGAATTTGATGGAGAAACACTAATAGGGATGCACAGTGGGAGTAACAATATACGCACCCACTGCATGCATGTACTGCATGCTGAAATCTGTGGACAAAGCTGTTCACGCGAAAAAAGTCTGGTACCCATTTGCAATACCCTTGCTTATCACAAGGGTAAAGGATATACAAAATTAGGTGAAAAAAATAGCTTTGAAAAAAAAAATTATACGGGATTCAAACTACTACCTCGCGAATCTAGTATCGAATAATTTGCAAAAAGGGATAGTTGAGGAGATCCGATAAAACAACCGCCTTAGGGCACGTTTGGCGCAATTATAGTGTATCTTACGAAGAAGCGCGCGTCGAAAAACTCAATTTCTTGGCTAAAAGCCACAAAAATTTGCCTATAAACAATTTTTTGGTCTGTTTCTTATTCACGAGTTGAAGAACTCTAAAAAGCATTGGCACGCCGCCGAGTGCGTTCGTGAACAAAGGAAAGAAAAAATATGCACGATGATGAATTCTAAAAATCAGCCGAGAAGGCTGCGGCGGCGCGGGCTACTCCTTTTTAATATCAGTAGCCATATTTTTCCTAAGGGTCTCTCCTCTTTGGTACTAATTAATGACATCCTTCTCTGTCCGACCAACCTTAAAGTTTTTCTCAAAACGACTTTGACGCAAAAAATATTTAAAAAATCGAGGGAGAGCTCGCGCCAAAAAAATTACTGCAGCTGAAAAAAACTCTGCTGCACCTTCTATTCCACTCATGAAAAGGCCGCGATCATTCAATAACTTTAAGAACCTTTTGGAACCCGCATCGAATAATGAAAAAAAAAATCGTGCATTTTCAAGTCAATTTGATTGACATTGAAGCTTGATCGGCAGAACTATAACATAACATATTTAGACACCTCATTTACACAGAAAGTAACTTAAAAAAATTACAACTCACAAATGAGGTAAATAGATCATTTTTATTGAAATTATGTCGATCAGGTTTCTATGTCATTCAAAATTACTTGAAAATACACGGATCATTTTCCATATTCCGCATATGGTTCGAATGATAGAACTTTTCCACAATTTTTTTACTGGCATCCTACAGTGTACAAGTTGTCGAACAATCGCCAAACACGCTTTTAATTAAATGGAATTTCCCTAAAAGAACAAAAGTAGTATTTGACCTATTGTTTCTTGTTGTTACTGTTTGATACTTTGCCCTAAATGGAACCCCTTACAGAGAAGCGAAGCTGCACTTTGCAAACACTATAGTGAAAACAGCAAAAAAAGCTCCTAAAAAGGTAAAAAGTGAAATAAACAAAAGGGTATTTACACATTTCGAACACTAGCCACCAATAAAGCAGATACAACAAATGCTACTTAATTGCCAACACTATAGTTCTAACGAATGAGATTTTTTCTTTGCGAGTAAGATAACCTACGCGCGCATGTGTAAATATGTGAACAAACTTTTCATGGGACACGCACAACTAGAACTGCAAAAAAAACATAACCAACAGACTGGAAAAATGTCAATAGCACAAGTAAACCAAAAATCTGACGGACTTGATTTCTTTTGAAAAAATTCCAAACTGAGTTTCAAAGAAAATTATGTTACCTTAAATTTTCAAAACAATAAAGAACCAATTTGTATTACCATAAAGCTATTTTAATTTCAAAAAAGTTTATGATTTATCTTTTAGACAAAACTAATTACTTTGAAAAAAATGACCTATATCAAAGAAAAAACATTGTTTCTTAAATCTCAGCGCGAAAAGATAGTTTTGTTAAAGTCGAATGGTCGTAGTATGAAAAGATAATAAATAAGTTGTATTTTCTTAGTCCAACTGTAAAGCATTAAATCGAAATCTTACTGCGCTGTTGTATTTCAGATCGGAACAGACGTTAGAAATCACAAGGTCAAAGGAGCAGGTCTCTAGACAGAAAGAAAACAATTGATGGCATTTACATAAACTTAAAACTGGTCCCTATCTCATTCGGGCAACCACAAATAAATTTTAACTTGTATAAAATTTATCAACTTGTAATGTTATCCTTTCCAATTCATGTTACAGATCAATGTCAGTTTTCTTTGAGTTTTTCGGCAAACAGTTTAACTAGAGTTTTTAGGCCCACCTGCCAAACCTCTCGTTTAGGTTTTCTTTTCTTTTCGGTCTGCGTTATGTTACTTGTTTTGGATACGATGAATCATAACACCCCCCATCTTATCAACGCCACGTCGCTGTCGCGTTGATTTTCTTGTCCCCTCTGCGTTTTTCTTCCGACCTCCTTCGACGGTCTTTGGCGTTCGCGTGGCCACTGTATCCGACGGTTCAACTGTATCCGACGGTTCGATTACGTTTTTACTCGCCGCCGTTTTGTCCGCATCGTCCTCCTCGACTGTCCAATCGCTCATGTCATTCTCTTCACTCTCGTCCTCGCTATATTCTACAATCCTTGGGTTTGCCGCCTTTTTCGCCTGTCCCATTGCAAGTTGATCCTTTTCCGCTTTCCGTTTGAGTTTCGTCGGTACACTTGGACCCGGTATGCTTCTTGCGGATTCACTTGGACCCGGGGTGCTCTTTTCGATATCACGTAAACTCGGGGTGTATTTCCGGTACTTGCTCGGACCCGGGGTGCACGCTTCGTAGAAATCCTTGATTTGGCTTTCCTCAGCCGCTGTTCTAAAAGAAACACCACTTCGTCTTAATAACGCCCCTTTTTCCATTTTCACAGTATGGTCAGTTAACTTATCGATTTTCAATGGTAAACGTTTATACCTTCTTGGATCCTTGGGGTCTGTTTTCCCCGTTTTCTGGTAGACTGTTGTTGAGCTAGCCTTGGGCCGTTTCTTTCCTCCTGATTGTTTTGAAACTTTATCAGCCATCTCAGTAGCCTTGGGATCCCTGTCAGTTATCTCATTATCATCCAAAATCCTTGGGGTTTTTCTTTGCTCAGGTGCGTATACTAGGTCGCTTCTCTTTTCCCAGTCCAGGGTCAGCTCCACCTCAGGGAGATTGCTTGCCTTGTCTAAACAAGATAGCTTCTGATTAACAACCTTATTCCAATTTAGATTTTTCAAAGATGGTGTCTTTGTTAAGTTTCGAAACGCCGTATTTGCTTCTCTTCCATGATATGCTTCAAAGGGTGTTAATTTAGTCTTAGAATGTGGCACAAAACGTAAAGCGCTGAGCGCTCGAGATATCATTTCCCCAAATTTGTAACTTTTATTTTCCTGAAGATAGGTGAGCACGTAATTTTTTATCGACCCAATTGTTCTTTCGACCATTCCCGTTGCGCGATGGTCCTTAACCGGAGATTTTATTAGTTCAATGCCTTCATAGTTACAGAAACTCTGAATTTCATTCGAGAAAAACCCCGTTGCCTGATCCATATGCAACTTCCTTGGGTGTCCGTGAGTGTTGATGTACTTCCTTAGGAACTTTAGGACATTTTTAGATTTATTACTTGAGCATATATATGCTGACGGCCAGTGCGAAAAAGTATCCACTGCTACGAGTACATATTTCTTTCTACCCTTTACATAATTGACTGGGCCCCAGAAATCTAATTGAACCAAATCGTTAGGTTCTTTAGGTACATAAGTTACCCCAATATCACTTTTTGGGATATCTGGTTTTAGATTTTTACCTGCTTCTACGCAGCATTTGCAGTACTTTGCCGTTGCGGCAATATTTCGATGCATCAACGGGATCCACACATCCTTTGCGGCCGCGAACATTTTATCCCGACCATGGTGTTGAAAGTGTAGTCTGTTGAGAACTGCGGAAGACATGTCCTTGGGTATAGCTAATCGGCCGTCCATCCACAAACAGTTGTCCCGTACCGCGAAGTCATTGTAGTGTTGAGCGTAATATGGTCCTAGTTTAGTGATGATTTCTCGGGCTCTTGGGTTTCTGTCTTTGATCGCGTCACGTATGGTCTTCATGATGGGGTCCTTCTCCAGATTAGCCTCGACTAACTTTAGACTCAAGATTTCCGGGTGTTCCAATTTTCGGACAACTTTACTGTCCGACGGTATTATGGAGTACACCCATTTATCGTTCTGGACTAATGGGTAGGATAACCCTGGGAATTGATGAGGGAATGAGATAATTGTGTTGGTTTTCTTCGAATTAACTTGTTTTCTATCGATAATTTCGGGCGGTATTAACTCAATATCCGAGTCCGAACTGACAGAACTGAGACTGGGGGGCTGATTTAAACGATTAAGTACAAGGTTAAGATTAACGTCTCCAGAGTTTGTCGAGGTATTTACAATAGCAGAAGTAATTTGATCTTGTTTGTCAGGTGAATTTACTGAGATTTTACTATTCATGTTATTCATATCTTGTAATTTGCGACTTGAAATTGCGTAGCGAGAACGATGTCTGAATTTTCTTCTTTGATATTTGCATATTTCCGCCGGTATGCAAATCTCTTCAATCTGATTGGTCAACCGTCGGTTGCATGAAAACACGCCCTCTAGTGAGCGTGTACTCTCACTGTGAGTATTTGCATAATCACTTGTTCTTGAATTCTCATTGGATGCTACAAATGTCGTTATGTCAAGGCATGACTGATCGCCCTCTACCGCCGGTATTGGCTTTAGATATTTCACGTTTTGACCCCTAGGCTTCATTTGAGCCTTAGGATTTAGTGCTTCATTTATCATTTTTATTTTCGCTACTACAAAGCTTTCATCGTAACGACTGGTCTCGGGTGCTGCTGCAGATGGAAATCGGGACAAGTAATCTGCCATTCCCATTTTTGACCCCTGTCTGTGTTCAACTTTAAAATCGTACGGCACTAAACGATCGTACCAACGCGTTAGTCGGCTGAAAAACGTTTTATTTCCTTTCGGAGATGAATTCAATAACGTTAGCAGAGCCTTATGGTCCGAAATAACTGTGAAATAACGGCCATATATGTAATTTCGAAAATACTCCGTAGCCCACACTACCGCAAGTAATTCTAATTCGTTCGTGGAGTATTTTTTCTCCGCAGGGTTTAGGTAACGCGATGCAAACGAAATGGGATGCCACCCTGAGGCCCCATACTGTTCTAATACGGCCCCCAAACCATCGTGACTAGCGTCACAAATAATTCTAGTCTCCCGGTGAATGTCGAAATGTCGTAACTCGACAATGTTTTTCACTAGCGATTTTAAATGTTGGAATGCATTTTCGCAAACATTAGTCCAAACAAAATCGTTGTTTTGGCTTAGTAGTGGCCTTAGCGGTGCACTTAATTCTGCGAGTTTGGGTAAAAATTTGTGTAAACTGTGAAGTGAACCCATCAGTGATTTCAACTGTTTTCGTGATTTGGGGGTTTTCAGGTCTTCAATTGCTTGTGTTTTCTTTACTAAGGGTGTAATACCACTTTCCCCAATTCTAAATCCGAGCCACTCGCACTCTGTTTTCGCAAATTCGCATTTCTGCAACTTTAAAGCAACATTAGAAATATCCAGCTTTTTCAATATCTTTTCGACCAATGCGATGTGTTCGATCTTCGTTCCTTTCGAAGAAATTAAGATATCATCGATGAACGCGTTAGCTTGAGGGAACTCTTTAAGCAAATTATCAATTACTTTTTGGAATTCCGCCGGCATTGATGTCAACCCGTAAAATCCGTTTTTAAAATGATACGTTCCTGTGGATTTCCCCCCAACAAGCGAGAAATTGCATTGTTCGCTCGTTTTTTGTTCTAAAGCGACTTGTCCATACGCATATGTGAAATCCAATGTTGTAAAATATACATTCCCCGCTTTTTTCTCCGCAATTATCTGGCTTACTCCGTCTATTAATTCGTCAATATTTGGCATTTGGTACTTATTTTTATGTACCTGCTTGTTTAACTCTCTTGACTCCAATGCTATTTTTATACTTCCATCTTTTTTTACTGTAATTACGATGGGAGAGACGAAATACTTATCTGAGCATTCTTGTAATTTTACGATATGCCCTTCATGTATTAGCCGATGGATTTCTTTATCCACCTTATCTTGCAGACTAATCGGCACCCTGCGTCCTTTTTGCTGTATGGGTCTCAAATTGTCAAAAAATTCGGCTCTTACTTTTGCATTCCGGATTTTCCCTATCCTAGTAAACAAATTTGGGTACAACTTACAGAAGTATGTATGCAATTCGTCATATTTCTCCTCCTCTTGACTGATCCCTTCCCCTGTGATTCCCATCACTTTCTTCCGTTGAACTAACTCGAGACCCAGGGTGCCCATAAGATCCCGCCCCAGGATGGACTGATGGTTCCCGGATATAACCGACACTTGTGCTGGTGCCGCCCAGCCGTTTAATGACATCATCACTGTTATCTTCCCCAGTATGTTTATTCGATTGTTGTTATAATCCAGGAATTCGTCTTGTGACGGTTTTAGTTGGATATTTGCCTTACCCAACGTTGCTTTTAGGTCGTTAATGCTAAAAATGGTCACTGGGGATCCACTATCGATCCACAACCACATTTTCTTCCCTGCTACTTCAACTTGCACGCGGGCCCCAGGGAGCTTTAGTTCGGATTCGTTCCTCTTCCTGTGTATTGACATTACCATGTAATCGTCCGATCCCGACGTCATGGATTCGTTTTCCCCGCACCCCTGCTGATTGACCCACGACACTGGATCTTCGTTCAAGTCAGTTACGTTTTGTGTACTTTGTTGATGCTCACTCTCCTCCCTAACCAGTCCGACTCGTCCTCGTCCCCTCCAATGGTTAGTACCTCTTCTAACTCCTCGGCATGTTCGTTCAAAGTGACCTAATTTTCGGCATGAATTACATGTTGCTCCTCTTGCAGGACAGCTCGCAATATGCTCCAGGGTAAAATTTGGTGCGTCGCAATTGTAACACCTACGATTATTTCCGCTTCCTCCACTACTACTCGGTCCTTGGGTGTATCCTCCACGTCCCCCGCGTCCGCGACTTCGAAAAAATCCTTGTCCCCTCCTTATGTTACTCACCGGTTCTTGTTTTATTGTGATAGCCGGAGCTGTTGAAGCTGGTCGTCCCGTATACGATTTGTATGCGCGTTCCCCGCGTTCGTATGACAATGCGATCCTGTAGACTTCTTCAGGTAATTTTGTTGATCGTGATAACTCTCGTTGGCAATCAGACTCCCGCATGTTCATAATGAAAATGTCACGAACGTTTTCGGCCGCATTTGCAAAATCACATCTACCTGCTAGGGCGCTTAGTTCCGCATGGAACTTTTCGAACGTTTCGTTCTCACGCTGTTTCCTTCCGTAGAAAAGACCCCGTTCATGTGTTACATTCCTCTCTCTTTGAAACACGTTTTGCATTTCATCTAGAACCCGTGGGTACCGTGCAGTTTTGATGTTAACCGTCGGTTTCCGAGCTTTGAATATTCTTTGCGCCTCGTCTCCGATACATAGATATAGATTAGACTTTAACTTCTTTTCTGAATCGAGACGGTTTTTCCCATTTACTTCTTCAGGCAACGCACCGACGGCCGCCGCATTTAGAGTGTCCGCAAAATAGAAGTCATCGGGATCAATATCGTACTTTGCGATCATCCCCCAGTGAAACTTGACTATCCACTCTTCCCAATAGACTGGAGGTTCTGGTGTTCGTACTTCCCAAAAGGCTACAATGTTCAATGGATTTTTCCCCCCTCCTTTTTTCTCTGCTGGCTGCGCCATGTTAAAGTCGAATGGTCGTAGTATGAAAAGATAATAAATAAGTTGTAATTTCTTAGTCCAACTGTAAAGCATTAAATCGAAATCTTACTGCGCTGTTGTATTTCAGATCGGAACAGACGTTAGAAATCACAAGGTCAAAGGAGCAGGTCTCTAGACAGAAAGAAAACAATTGATGGCATTTACATAAACTTAAAACTGGTCCCTATCTCAGTTTACGTGAAAAAGCCGCACGACCTAAACCAGTGAAAACTCTTTTCATTATGAAACACAAAAAAAAACAACCTCTGGTTGGGACTGAACATGACTGCTCATCCGCACGGCACAACACAAGGACTCTGGGTGACAGGCTACACTGTTCACTGACCAATCACACAGCCCACTCAAGGAGTCCAAAACAATCTTTCTTTTCCCTTCATCAAATGATGACCAGTTTATTACGTCTCATTCAAAGCTTAATTTATTTTTTCTAACTAGATTGTACTGTCAGTTCCATGTTCAACTTTTTCCACGAATCAACACTTTTTGACCTAATCTAGTCAAATATAATTTTTTCTAAACCTAACAGTTTGAAGATTTAGCAAATTTTTGCTTCATGAACTCCCTTTTAGTTACTATCGGTTCATTAAATTGATCTGTTTAACTGATAGTGGAACTACAATAAAACTGGTCATCATCGCGTTCGTCAAACACGTTACTTGAAGTTTCAGTCGAGTTAGACTCCTTTTGGTCAGTTGGCGGCAGAATGGAAGAAGGAGATAGCACCTCGATCTGATTCTCTTGCTTCTCGTGGAAACTTTCACAGTCTTCAATGATGCTTCCGGCTCGATTGGAACAGTCAATTCTGCTATTAGGCGGCATATTTCGTCGCTTTACAATTATAGGTCCATTTGACGAATCTGAACAAGAAAATGAGAAATCAGCTGAACCTTCCCTACTTACACAAGCTTAAATTTTACACTGTAACCAGGTGTTTTGCATGGTTTTGAGTGGGTCCAAATTAAATCAAATCAGGGCAATCAGTACACAAAACTGCATTTCGTAGCAATCGGACGATAGAACAAACGTTTTACAACAACCAAAAAGTCACAAATAAGAAGGGAAAAAGAAAGAGCCGAAAAATCATTTCAGCTCTTATACAACTCCCTCACCTGAAACTAAATTGTTCCGCCTTTCTCAGATTGTTCCAATTTTTCAGGAAACGATGGAATATTTATGCTCGGTGTGCTTCTTTCAAATTTTTTGATAGAATGTTAATACCATCTGAAATTTAGTAATTTTAAAAACACAAAATGTAAATTATCGAAAAAATCTTGTTCACAAACCATTTGATTCAGAATTTGCTGTTATATGCTTCAACAAAATGTTCACGCCTTCTTTTTTCAAAGTCTCCACATTTAAGTTGTGCACTATGATCACATGACCATTGACAGTAGTAAGTATCATCTTCAGTTCATTTGAGTTCTGTCTATGTTGGTGGAAAATAGGCGACATTGGCGATGGCTTAGGAGTGATGGTCATACGACAAAGAGGCTCTACTCGCAACACAAGTTCACTCATTCTTCTTTCATCACTTGCAGACGAGTCGCCATTTCTGAAGAAAAGAATTGTTGCTCAAATATTTCGAGGTGTAACGACAGAAAAACATGATGGCAAAACCATTCAAAAATGGCAAAACTCAAACATGCACCAATTCGTTTTCTCTTGAGTGATTCTTGATAAAACGTTAATAGTTCAGCTTTTTGAACTGAAGCATAATGACTTTTTGAGTCGACTCGTTCCCCTCAACATGAAAAATCATCTGTATTATGTACATATTATGTATTATGCTCAGCTGTTTTATTTTGCATATTCATGCATGAAGTCCAAATATATTCAAATTCACTTTATTAAGTCATGTTCAAATTGTTGTAACAATAAGACAACGGGAATGAAACGTTCATCCATTTAAAAACTACAGTGAGAGGAAAAGGTAGAAGAGCCTTCGAAAATTAGTGAATCATAACAGAGCACAGAGGCGAAGCGGAGCATCGCATCACTTACGATACAAGGAAGGCTTAGCATAGCTAACTAGCGAACAGAAAATGAGACGGAAACAACTAAGTCAGTAAAAAAAGTTTTTTTTCCGAAACTTGAGTGGCCGGGACTCGAACCCCAAATCTTAGGGCCCAGATGCAACCGTATTATCTCACAGCTAAGTTTGAAGGAGCCTGGAAGATGTTAAGATTCAATAAACAAGCAACTTCACTGTCCTACAAACTTGTAAGAGAAGTTGTTTACGGAGAAAGGCTAGTTTCCCATTACACGACATTTTCTCTAGTAAGTATGAGCCATGAATCCTTATTTCTCCGAAAAAAAAAATATTTCTATCATAAAATGACTAACTGTGTTTCGTATTTCAGTTCAGGCATAGGCCACGCTTTGATCATATTGTCAAATCCAGCCGTAATAAGTGTCTGAGAGTTAGGCAGGTACTCGACATTCTTCAGCCATCCCCTGTGTCCATGTTGGAACCTGTGCAAGGGACGACTCCCTTGATGATCACTTAGTTGTCTGACATCCCACAGAGCAGCAGTGCGATCGTCCGAACAGGAAACAAGTTGCCACTCACCCACGAAACTAAACAAATAGAGGTAGAAATTTTTATTTGTAATTTTTGCAAGCCTTTGCATCTTTTTTCTAAGACCATAATCGCATAGGCAGATGATTTTCGACACCGAAATTACTTATTAGGACACTTCAGAGAAAAACTAAGGTATATAGTGTTGAACAAAACAGATTGATATCGTCTCGGCGAAACCCACGCCCACGCCAACAGTTGATGCAACGGACAATTCAGCCACCATATAAGCTTCAAAGAAAAATTTTTAGCAATAAGATCTATTTAGAATGGAACTAATCCTATTACCAACAAGCGAATGCTTTATCTAACATAAGTATCAATTTGAAGAGTAAAGATTGGTTTTACAAATAACGATTGATGAATGCATGACAAAATTTTCGACTGTTTTCCTTTATATATAGCCGGATGGTAAAAACAAAACACCCCCACAACAATAATTTACACAGAGACGAAACGGAGCTTCGCACCACTTGCAATAAAAAACAAAAGGAAAGCCGCTAAATCGGAAAAAAAAACCGAAAAAGTCGAAAAAACTAGATCTAACAAAATGACTGACGATAGTGTTAACAAAAATATGCCAAGACAACAGAATGTAAAATAGCATCGGAAGAAAATTTATCAAGCGATAACGAAACCTAAAATAAGCCGGAAATCAACAAGACATGACTTTAGAAAATTTATTGAGTTCTTCGAAATACGCAAAATAAATAAGTCCATTAAATCGATTTTATATCGGCCGAAACAAAAAGGAAAACAATTTTAAAAAGCTGCAAAAATCTCTTCGGATGGAAAACTACAATTTCTATTAAAAAAATTAGCATTTTATGCGACCTAGAGGCGAGCATAAAAACATGTTTCCCTTGAAACTACTCAAAAATAGGGCACAAAACCGATAAATATAACCCGAAATCATTTGGGTGAAAAATTTTGTCAAGGTTAGCAAAATTACAAACAGCAGAAAAAATGAAAACACTAAAAGCAACTACAAGGTAATTTGCGTACAGCAAAAAAAAAAACTCGTCGATGTGGCACCTCAGCCAACAAAAGATGACCAGACAAACCATAAGCAGACAATTTGTTTTAAACGGAATATTTCCCGTTCGAAAAAAAATCAGATTACAACCAAAGACCTTCGCCGTCCAAGGCGTAATCTTTGCCTCCAGACCAAGTCCGCCGGGGACAAAAAAAATTGAATTTATTATGAACTGAACCTAAACTTACCAATGATAATGAGCCTAATTTACCTAATCGTAAGCAGACAAATAATAAGCCGACAATTTGTTTTGAACCAGAATATTTCCTGTTTGAAAAAAAGCAGGTCCTGTCAGATTCGAAGCCAAGACCTTTGCCGTCCTAGGGTATTCGTTACCTTCAGACCAAGTGTGCCGGAGAAGCATATTTTTAAAAATTATTATGCACTGAACCTAAATTAACAATTTCTAATTTAAATCTGACCATTCTGTGAACAAAAAATGTTTAGGGGGGAGTCTAGTACCTGATTGCAATACCCTCGCTTATCGCTAAAGTAATCAATTCTTTAGAATAAATCGTCGGCTACTTATCAAGAAACTTCTCTTTGCAAACCTTATTACACTCCACTTATTTCCATCTCATAATTAATAGATGAAACTGATAAAATGAGTGAAAATCCAAAACTTACAAAGACATTTTACTAAAAAACTTGGAACCAAACAAAACGTACGTCCATAAGGAACATATCGGCTTATCAAAAGTCACTATATATTGCTTGCTATAAACTAGGACAAAAAAAGACAAATTAAGTTAAAAAATGCGTAATTTCAAAAATTGTGAGTAGCCTAAAACCTTAGTTGTTTCTCTTATAAAATAAACGAGAAAAGTAAGAAATTAAGAACTTGATACCTTTCGAATACATTACCCTTCTCTTCTAAAAAAATGAGTAGCCGCTTTTGCAAGAAAGATTCGCTTCTTTCGATTAATTTTTCATCTCAGATTTGATAGAATAGAAGGGTAGTGTGAAAGAAAATTCAAAAAAATTCTAAAAAATGGTCAAAGTTCAAAAAAATAACTTTCCTATGCCAATAACTTGTTTCTGCTTAAAACAGAACGTTTTCGATAAAGTATAACAAATGCCAACAATTGGGTTTCTCGATTTAACACTGAGCCCGAGAATTGGCACGGTAATTTTCGAGTAGAGTCAAAAAGTTGAGGAGACTTGTTTGAAGGCCATCACTTTTTTCTAAAAAAAAATTGGGCGTGGAAAAAAACAAAGGTAGGCTTCCAAAAATCTGTTGCGTTGATTAAACCAGACTTAGAAGGATAGTTATCGGAAAAAATTCAGAAAACGGTACACAAATCAAAAAATCGATTTTTTGATTTTTTTCCGAGGGCCATTAAATTTTTTGTCAAAAATTTTAGGCGTACTCGCTTATGCAAAGGAACTGCTTATGCAAAGGAGCGTTCCACGAACCGTTCATTTGATTGAACTCAAAACCTCAGATATGAAAGGATATTTTTCGGTAAAGTTCATATTTAAAAAAAAAAAACGCTCCAAAAATTGAATTTTATGACGACGATGATTTTTTGTGTCAAAAAAATTTGGGCGCGGTCCCGTATGCAATGGAGCTTCATACAACCCGTTCTTCGGATTGAAACCAAAATCTCAGATATGTGAGGGTATTTTTTGGTGAATTAAAAAAACAAATGCTCAAAAAAAAAGACTTCCGAGGACAATAACTTTTTGCGTTAAAAACTGTGAGTGGCAGCTCATGCCGGGGAGCTTCCCTTCATCTGTTATCTCCATTGAACCCACATCTCAGGTTTGGGAGGTTAGTTTTCGAGAAAGGTTGAAAACAAAAGATTCAAAGACTGTCAAAAAATTCAAAAATTTGACTGTTCCGATGGCCATAATTTTATTTTAAAAAATTTGGGCGTTGCAGGTAAAAGGGTTTTTAATTCAAAAAACTGAATTTATTGCGGAAAGTTGATAATTTTTTCAGAGTGTCTCAAAATCTAAATTAAAACACCCAATCCCATGCTTTTTCATAGCACCTGTTTTCATCAAACATGAATTCTTCGCAAACATGCCAAGCAAAACTTTTCAAAATTCAAATTAGCCACTGAACAAAATTCACGGAGCAGAAATAAGGCCGACATTTTTGAGCAGACAACAGTTGAGCCGGAAAAAAAACTGATTTTGTAAAAAAAAAAATTACGAGTCCTTCTTGAAGCTACCCTACGGTAACTAGTACCCACCCAGTAGTTAAGATAGAATTTTCATGAAATTGAGCATGTCAGCTGTGTTGAGCATGGTTGCCTTCCTTTTAGCATAGTTGCATGGTTGCCTTCCTTTTAGCATAGTTGCCTTCCTTTTAAGAAGGAACTAAATTTAAAAAAGAATCAAAATCAAACCGCAAAAAAAAACAAATGTGAGGCTGAACAAACTTTTCATGAAAAAATAATCATCACGACTCATCCTGTATAAGAGTATTCACTACGTTTATCGACTCTTAAGAATTATGAAAAATCATGTTTTTCAAAAAAGAACTTCAACCAGAAACAACCACGGACTTGAATCTCGTGCAGAACTTGCCAAATGCCTTCGTTGAAAGAAAAACAGTTTCGTCAAAATTGAAAAAAAAACTGAAAATTTTAGACACTAGCACAATACGCTGTGCCATCACCTCGAATCAATTCAAAAATAAATTGTTCAAATCAAATATGACGCACGCTACGTTGCTGAAAACGAATTGCACATAACTTCAAACCAAAAAAAAGTAAATCAGAAACCATGCTCCGTTTGCAAGTTATACAAGTCATACTATCCTTTCCGATTAAAAAAAGACCTAAATAACTAAGAAATCAGACGTCAACAAACGCAAGTAGATGGTTGCTGAGTTCATAGCACGCAATCAATTGACCGACTGAAGTTCATTTTATATGAGTATCAAAAAAATTTTGAAAAAGAAAAGAAACTAGCAATTAACGCACCTTTGGTGCTTCGAAATTTTTCGACAACTCATGAAAAAACGCATATATTGGAAACAGCATCTGCAGACTTTTAGTGTACTCTGACTGCACTCAATTACAGGGTTGGTAATTTCGAACTTTTAAATTTTTTTAAATTCCCATTTTAAAAGCGTCATATCGAAAACTCAATGGGCCTCTGGAGAAATTTGGAAGCCAGATTTGCAACCACTGAGAGTCCCTGAGAGCACCCTATTATAAGGTTAGGAATACAAAATTTTGTGATTTTTTTTGAGCCTAAGTTTCCCGAAAAAAAAAATGAAAAAAAAAACTTCTTACCTCGGAAACTAAAAGGAACTGAGCATTCATATTAAAAGGCAAGATTTGAGACGCCTGGGTGTACGCTGACAATAAGGTTGTATTTTCATCAACATAGTAGTTTCAAATTTTTGAATTTCTTTGTAGATAAGTTCTTTGAGAAATTTTGAAAAAATCAAAAAAACGTCACATCTCGGAAACTAAAAGCATTTGAGCGGTCGCGTTTAGCAGTCGCATGTGGCAAGATTTGCGACTCTTTAGAGTACCCTGACAACACCGAACTATAGAGTTGGGAATTTCAAATTTTGAAAACTAATTAATTTAAACTTTCTGAAAATTTTGAAAAAATCACAAAAAACGTCACCTCTCGAAAACTACAAAGAAGTGAGCAACCATATTTGGAGGCGAGATTGGCAATCTTTGAGAGCACTCTGATAGACCTAACTACAGGGTTGGGAATTTCAGATTTTTAAAGAATAATAATTTAAGTTTTCTGAAATTTTTCGAAAAAATCACAAAAAACGTCAAATCTCGAAAACTACAAAGAATTGAGCAACCATATTTGGAGGCGAGATTCGCAATCTTTGAGAGTTTTCTGACAGGACCTAGCTACAGGGTTGGGTATTTCAGATTTTTAAGAAAAATAATAATTTAAGTTTTCTCAAAATTTTTGAAAAAATCGCAAAAAACGTCTATCTCGAAACCTACAAAGAATTGAGCAGTCATACCTGGA